CCCCAAAACCCCAAAACCCCAAAACCCCAAAACCCCATAAAACTTGTAAAAAATTGAAGAGTTTGAAATCAGAGATGGAACAACAAAAATCAGGAATTTTTGTAACTGGTAAGATAGAGTAATTAAAAAGTGTTTGTAATGATAATTTAGCCTTGAGAAGATTGGGCTTGCTTAGGAGACAAATTATTAAGCCAGAAGAAGTTGACGTGAAGAAAAAGAAAGTGTGTATTATTGGTGCAGGACCAGTTGGACTAGCAGCAACAAGACACTTTAAAAGATATCATGATGTCGATACCTATGAAGCTAGAGATAAAGTCGGAGGATTATGGTACTATGACCCAATCTCCGAGCTTACTCATCCTAATCTCCAAGAAGACGAATACTACAAGTTCACCGGCTATCTCCACCCCTCAATCTACGAAAACATGACTGCAAATCTCCCCAAATACCTAATGCAACTAAAAGATTTCCCCCACAAAGAAGACACCAAGACAATGATGGAGCCTAATGACTACCTAAACTACCTCACCTCCTACTATACCCACTTCAATCTCTCCTCAAACATCCACTTAAACACTCTTGTCCTCAAAATCCGACCTTTAGCCAAAATAGACCCATCATCCTCGCCTCCTCTCTCTGAGGTTCAGAAAAGCAGGCAATTCTTGGTTATGACCAAGAACACCTTGACCAAAGCAATAGGATATGAGACTTATGACCATATTGTGTGTGCTCAAGGAAGAAATAGCAGAAAGTTTATACCTAAGATATCAGGCCAGGAGAGTTGGGACGGACTTCAGTTACACATGCATGAGTTTAGGAAGATCGATTATGATTTATACAAGGATAAAATCATTTTGATCATGGGAACAAATATTTCAGCGTATGATTATGTGTATCATGTTCTAATGAGTCCTTGGAAAGCAGATCCGAAGAAGATATATATCACTGGAACTACTATGGGGCTTATAAAACAGTCTTCAGATCTTAACCCCTATGTAGAGAGTGGAAAGATAGAGTTTCTTACTGAGTTGCCTGTAGAATTTTTGCCTGATAAAGAAATTAAGCTTGAAAATGGCAGAAAGATATACTTGGATATTTTAATGTATGCAACAGGTTATAAGTTTAATTTCCCATTTTTATGCAAAGAAGATCAAATTTTGGATTATTCAGAAGAAGAGGGAAGATTCATTTACCCTGGGTATAAGCGAATCCTATCTGCAAGATACCCAAACTTCTCTTTTTGAGGAATGGTAACTGGATCTCCCTTTCCTCTAGCTGGGGTAGAGCGTCAGATACTATTCTCTCTTAGTGTATGTAACGATTGGGTAAATTTACCATCGACAGAAGAGATGATTGAACAATGTGATCGAGATATTGAGTTAAAAGCAGTGTTTATGAAGAAGAAAAAGGATAAGGTAAGCTAATATGGTCAAAGACATCCAAATATCCAACTTTGGGTCAATCATGATATCTATAGGTTTTCAAATTTGATTACGTAATTTTTGCTCCCAAACCCTACGCAGAAGATCTAAGACAGATGATAAATAGATCAGGCAAGGTCTACTTCAAAGCAGATACAGCCTTTGATATTTTCGATGGAGTTGAACTTGTTTATATTGAGAAATTTATGAAAGGAGATTACCTTTCAGCAAAACAGACTGATTTTGAGCAAATGTTCGAGAAAGAGATTGCAATATTCAAGCAAAAGCCTCCTAGTGCAAAATATTTCTAAAGGTTTTATCATAAAATACGAATTAAAATAACGCCATTTTTATTAAAGATTTATTAAGTACTTTTTCAACTACAACCACAAATTAAGGGGTTTTGGGGTTTTGGGGTTTTGGGGTTTTGGGG